ATGATTCTTAAAATGTCGTATATGTATCAGACTACAAGGGTAAATTACTATGGTTGGTTTTAGTGTCAACTCGCACAAATTACAACCACCTGTGTAGGGAGCCGCACCTGAAGAACTGTCCTGACTGACTTGGGAAGGCACTCATTGTGGATGGTACCTCCTGGTAGGAAGGAACCAAGAGAGAAAGGCATGGAACAGGCTTTCTTTTGGGCCACCAACCAGCTCCCAAACCATGGCATGGAGCCGTATTATTAGTTATGAATGCTTGGTCTTAGCTTACATTTGTGCCACTAGCTCTTATAACTGTTTCTCTTCCTTTATATTCTGCCTCGGGGCTTTTTACCTTCCCTTCATTCTGTATGTCCTACTCGGTGTCTTGCTATCTGGCAGCTGCTGGGTTACCAGGGGCTGGCTGCCCCATGATGGAGGAGGGTTAACTGTCTATGTGTTACTTTCATTGGTTAATAAAGTAACTGCCTTGGCCTTTTTGATAGGCCAGCCCCTAGGTGGGTGGAGTAGGCAGAACAGAATTGTGGGACAAAGAAAGCAGAGGCAGTCAGACGCCATAGCTCTCCTCCCCAAGATGGACCCTGGTTAGACTTGTCCTGGTAAGCCACAGTCAAGTGGCAACACGCATTAATAGAAATGGGTTGAATCAATATGTAAGAGCTAGCCTATAAGAGGTTATAACTAATTGGCCAGGCAGTGTTTAAATGAATACAGTTTCCGTGTAATTATTTCGGGTAAAGCTAGCCGGGCGGAAATGCAGCCCACCGCTCCTTTTCCAGAGTGGCGCTCCAACGTGGTAACTAGCTCCACTTAAAAACCTGAGAGGGCTTAAAAAAAGAAAAAAAAGAAAAGGTGAGTTTAACACAGCTTTTTGCTGTTTGCTAGGGCGTGCTGTAGAGAGATTTCCTGTTTCATCATTAGCGGCAGAAAAAAAGCTGCGTCATTTTAAAACGCCCTGCCATCGGCTATGAAGCATTTCTGGGCCCGGACGTTTGTGTGCCCACTCGGGATCAGGAACAAAGTAGCTGAGACCATGCCTGTGGCTCAGCTCTTCCTGTCTGAGTAGGCAGTGGGATCAGGTCTACTAGAAAGTGGCGGTTTTGAAATACCAGTTTCTGGGCTGTGCCGCCATCGCGATCTCTGGCTCCTGCAGGAGACAGAGCTTTTGAATGGAGCATTTGGAGTAAAATGCTTGCTTGCTTGATGGCAATGTGGACTTGCTGTGTGCCTGGAACTGTGTGCAGCTCAGGGGCACCAAATGGCTGAGGCAGGAGCAGCTCTGGCTCTGCTCCTGTGTGCTGAACTGTGCTGAACTCAGGCAGGAACTATCGTAATTATCAGAATAACAGCGCAGTTAAGGTTTAGACTGGGCAGGACACAGGCGGTACCGTATTACCTCTACATGGTGCAACTTAAGTTCTTAAGAAGTGCTTAGCATTTTAAGAACTGCTCTTGGACAGTAAAGAATTACAGATTCACAATAGGACAGATTCAGACATAAAAGACCTTTAAATGGGTCATAGTGTTAGACATACGTAGGCTTGGGAGAGAAAGGAAAAAGAATATAGAGAATAAAGTTAATGTCTTAAAGAAAAAGGGTAAAGTCTTTAAAGAGACAGAATACAGATAGTTATAGATTTAAAGAAATAAAGAAAAATAAGCCACGTAAAAATGGAAAATTCACAGAGAGTTTGGATTCTGTATATTGTGTTTTCTTTAAAATTTTTGGCTGTGAAGGAGCTAAGTACAGAGAGACATTTCATTATATGGGCTGCCAAGCTAAACCAGAATGGATATCATAAGGATATAATGACTTCAAAATTTGGGTCTCAGAATATGATGCTTTGGAAAGGAGGTCCTTCTTTTGTTTTCACAGAGGATGAGACCCTGTGGATTGCTTCTATCCCAATATGGTATGATAGACCACGTCCTCCTGAAAGGTTGCTGTGGACACCCTCAAAAAATTACTTCACTCAACTGCCAACTGAGATGAACCTAGCACACAGGTTATACCATGAAAGTCCTGATTAACAGCGCCCCCATACAGCAGGAAGAAGTTTGGAGAGAAATAACTACGCCCATATTCCCAAATATTGCTTATAAATGTTCTTTTACATTTAAAGGGGGATATGATATAGATATGAATAATTTGCATTGGTATGGAATTTAAGGTCAATTTTGTTATATGTATATGTATTTCTGATCTTGATTAAGGTATTGTGATTATATAGTTCATTTAGAAATGGAATGTATAACTAGGAAATATAGGTTGTTAATGGATAATCATCAATAATAGTCAAGCTTGTAGTCATGTTAGTTAGATTTTCTAGACATATAGAGATATATTTCAGTTAGATAGGCATTCTTCATGTTTTTCAAAGACTACAGAATATGGCATTTTAAATGTTTTAATAACTTAGGACTTTTCATGACAATGAGACACATCTGCTCCTGGCAGCACCAGCTAATTCAAGAGGAAGATGGGCATCGAAGAGGCTCCTTACGGAGTTTGATAACCATTTGGGCAAGAAACTGCTCTTGCCTGGACTGTTGCATAAACTGGACACAGAGAACCCACAGAGAGAGGACTGCTGAACTTACCTAAAGGTGAGATGGTCTTTCGGGGTTCCTGATTCATGAAAGAGTCTGCGAGACATTCTGCAGGACACAGCAGAAAGTGACTGAACTGCCTTTAAAATTTCCTGCTTCATGAAAATGTCTGCTGGATACTATGGGCCTGAAGGTCAAAGATGGATGCCCCAACGGTACAAAAGAACTTTGGGTGACTGTACAGGCAGCGAGATGTCTCTATCATTTCTAGAGGTTGGAAGTTGCTTATTTCTTGTTTGCTTAGGTAATATTATATCCTTCTGGAGTCTTTGATGGAGTTGAAGAATGGTTAGTTATAGTTATAGTTTTCCTTAGTTACGATAAAAGATAAAGTAGATATAAATATTGTAACTGTAATTCTTGCTTGATAACTGTTTTGTTGTATGTAATTTTACTATGTTAAAGTTAAAGCCTTTCTTTTTTGTTTAAACAGAAAAAGGGAAATGATGGAGGAGGGTTAACTGTCTATGTGTTACTTTCATTGGTTAATAAAGAAACTGCCTTGGCCTTTTTGATAGGCCAGCACCTAGGTGGGTGGAGTAGGCAGAACAGAATTGTGGGACAAAGAAAGCAGAGGCAGTCAGACGCCATAGCTCTCCTCCCCAAGATGGACCCTGGTTAGACTTGTCCTGGTAAGCCACAGTCAAGTGGCAAAACGCATTAATAGAAATGGGTTGAATCAATATGTAAGAGCTAGCCTATAAGAGGTTATAACTAATTGGCCAGGCAGTGTTTAAATGAATACAGTTTCCATGTAATTATTTCGGGTAAAGCTAGCCAGGCGGAAATGCAGCCCACCGCTCCTTTTACAGCCCCAGGTGTCTCCCTTCTTTCTCCTTTGTTCTCTTCTCTCCTACTGGTCAAAGAATTGCCAGCCAAAGTTAGGAAGGGGTTAGCCAAAACAAAGAGGGAATATGAGCAAGCTCAAGGCTGGTTCAAATATATATTCAATACCCCCATGTTAACAACCTTAATCACCGCATTACTAGGGCCCTTACTCATCTTAATACTTTTAGCTTCTTTTAGGCCCTGTATCCTCAAATAAGTTACTGGTTTTCATTAGCAGAAGGATCAGCACAGTACAATAGATGGTGCTACTGTCTCAATATACTCCATCGGAGTCCCTCAGAGAGAACCCATGATTGGGTCCTCTACTTACTTCTAGAGGGGGAAATGAGAGACCAGGGCCCAGAAAACCCCTGATCCATAGCCCCTACACAGACCCTAAACAGCTTGGCCCAAGCAAGCCCCAACCCAGTGAAAGAAACACACCCTGAAAATGGGACCAGAGCCAGGGGAAGAGATACTTTGTCCCCGAACCTAAAACTGGAGAAAAGCCCTGGACCCTGAAACCAGGACCAAAAAAATGCACTAAACCTCTAGATTCAGAGCATACCAAAGATATTCGCCCTGGTCCCAAAGTTAGGGTCAAAAAGGTAAAAAGAACCAAAGAAAGAAACACAGTTTAGAATCAGAGCAATCTCTGCCCCTCACACAAAACCAGTCAATCCCTGAGCAGGAAACCGGACCGATCACTGAGCCTTTAGAGGCTTGGAACTCCCTCAGGTCTGGATATCCCCTTACATCATAGGGGCAGTCAATCCCAAACCACTAGGGGGCAGTCAATCACAAGCCCAGAGGCTTGGAATTCTCCCTTTCCCACTGCTGCTGAAGCTGCTGCTGCTGCTGCTTCAGACCCATGGAGGGACCCAAGTTAACTTGCAATAAAGACTCTGTTTTTGCATCAGATACTGTCTCTGGTGATGTCTTGGGGATCCGGACTTTGGGCGGAACACTACTTATTCTCTCTGCCGGCCAGCCTCTCTTATCCCTCTACTGCCTAGCTATTGGCCATTCAGCTTTTTATTAGACCAGTCAGGCACCTTAGGCAGGTAAGGTAAACAGCAACGCATCTTCACATAGGTAAACAAATGCAGCATAAACAAATGTAACGCACCTTTACATCGTTGAAGTAATATTTCACAACAAAGGCTTTTCAGTAGTTCCTCCTCTTGCCTTTTATTCTTTGCCTATACTGTGTGAGTGTGAGTGTGTGTGTGTACGCACGCGCATGTGTGCACTCATCCCCTTGGTACTGTTCTCTTGAGAACCCTGACTAAAACACTAAGTACTCTACCAACTAAATCACATCCCCAGCCCCGCCCCACCCTGCCCCACCCCTCTTTTCCAACCGTGAACACCGGAGAGGGGAGCAAGTGTCAGGTTTAATCTATAGCAGTCTTTACAGGCACTTTTCACAATTTTACAAGGGATTCTTGAGAAAAGTCAAAGTTCTGAATTTCATTTCCCAAGTCTTGACTCCCTCGGTTCTTAGTGCCAAGTTCATCCTCTGCTCCGGATGCAGGCAGCTTTTCAGCTCACCCACACTCCTCAAAGATGTCTGGATAGTGCCGAAAGAGCACTGGCGGATCCCGGTCACCTCGGACTGGGGCTCCAGGCACAGCCCGGATCCCAGGCCTACGGCCACGGCGACCCCCGGAACAGGAACGATGGATCCATTGGTGCGCTTCCACCGCAAACTTCCTCTTGAAGCGCATGCCGCACTCTGGGCAGGGGAAGGGTCGCTCACCCGAGTGCATGCGCCGGTGGCTGACCAGCAAAGAAGGGTAGGTAAAGCGGCGCCCACAGTCCATGCACACATGGCGTCGTTGGCTGGCCTGCGCATCTGTGCTGGGTACCTGGGCAGGAAGCTCTGTGCCTGCTGCCTGGCCTGGGACAGCTTTGGAAGGTAGCTGTGCCCTGGCAGAGGACTTGGTAGCCATAGAATAAGTCTTTTGTTCAACCACCTCTTTAGATTGCAACTGAGCAGGAGGAGTCTCTGCCAGTCTCTTGGTTCCTTCCTTGGGGCCCTGCACCTTCTCATTTGAAGTGTCTCCTGGGAAACAAATTAATTACATTAAAAAAATCTCACTAGGAAGCCAGGCAGTAGTGGTGCACGCCTTTAATCACAGCACTCAGTAGGCAGAAACAGGCAGATCGCTGTTAGGCTGAGACTGGCCTGGTCTACAAGAGCTAGTTCCAGGACAGCCAGGGCTGTAGCACAGAGAAACCCTGTCTCGAAAAACAAATAAACAACACACACACACACACACACACACACACACACACACAAATCTCACTAGGGAAGTAGCTGTAATCTCAGCATTTGGAAAAGCTGAGGCAGGAAGACAGCCGTGAGTTTGAGGCCAGCAAGGCCTACATAGTGAGACCTTGTCTCAGAAACCCAAAACAGGATAGTACTATGGTAGCTACTCATCTTTAACCCTAGCACTTTGGAGGTAGAGGCAGATAGATTTCTGTGAATGTGAGAACAACCTTATCTAAATAGCAAGTTCCAGGCCAGCCAGGGCTACCTGTCTTAAAAAGAAAAATCAACACAACAAAAATAAAACAAAGTAGGATCTGGAGAGATGGCTCGGTGGTTAAAAGCGCTTGCTGCCTTTCCAAAGGACCTGAGTTCAGTTCCCAGAACCCACATCAGGCAGCTCACAACCACCTATAACTTCAGCACCAGGCAATGCCACACCTCTGGCCTCCTTGGGCAGCTGCAATGTGAACATACCCACATGCAGACACATACATTTACACGTAATGAAAAATAATAAAAATAACTCTTTAAGAAACAAGTCTCAATAAAACATAACACTTTTGCATAGATGCCCCTAGCTTTTGCCCAGGTAGTGCCTCGGTATGCTGCCCAGGGGCTAACACAAGGCTTTGTTGAAAGTCAAACAGTTAAAATTTCTTATGTGTCAAACGTGAAAATAATATCAATAATATCGGGAGGGTTAAATACATTGTGCTTGTTGGTAACTTAGTATGCTCAATAAAGAGTTACTGTTGCATTTTGTGTGCTGGGGTTGCTGTTGTTGGCACAGTGGTACTTTTACAGATGAGGCGCCATATTTGCTTCAGATGTCTTCGATTCAGGGCAACGATGGCAGATGAGCCAAGGTGTCATTATACGGGCTTTTTTTTTCTCATGTAACACTTGGTCTTGAGAAACAGAAGAGGCAGACCTGAAACCAGTTCGATTTTAGGGACATTTTAGGATGGGGGGGGCGTAAATGAGACAAGGTCTCACTACATGTAGCCTTGACTGATCTCACATCCACCTGCCTTTGCCCCAAAAGTGCTGGGATTAAAGGCAAAGGCGTGTGTCACCACGACCAGGGGGAAATGAGCAGTATCTAACAAACATCTGGAAATTTAAACTTCTTTGGGCTCTACGTTCTCCTATTCTGCTCTTAACATCTCCCGAGTTTCCAAAACTCTCACAGGTCGTCTTTCTTTCCTTTAGTGTCTGACACATGCTTACTCTTGAAATTCTGTAGGGACGCTGGGACGGTGAATCTGAAAGAAAACTTTACTAGAGAAGAAACCCCTGACAAACAAGATGCAGGAGGACCTGGGTCAATCCCTCACCTCTCGGAGTTCCTCCCAGACTTTCCCCCTCCTCAGGATCCTGGGCGGCGGGGCTCCAAGCCTCACTCTCCTGTTCCATCCAAGAGATGAGGGCTGGTTTGGGGCCCGGAAACCCTGAGAGAGAACAGTGCTGGCCTGAGCGACTGGCCCGGGCAGATAGCATCCCACTAGGGTGAGGGCACCTCCTCGGAACTTAGGCTCAAATCAACCTGGGCAGGGTTTGCGTTGTTCTTGCCTGAATGGAGACTCCCGAGGAAGCCCTGGGAATGGAAGGTGACTGATGCTGCTGGTGGAAAAGTGCGGGGTTAGGGCTCGCGATCCACTTGGTTGGTCTACAGCATCTCCCCTCTGAAGCCCGGAGGAGGATGGGGGGCGGGGCTCTGACCCGGGGCCTCACCGAGCGCGCCCAGGAGGCCGTAGGTCTCGCGCATCACCTCCCGGTACAGGGCTCTCTGCGCGGGCCGCAAACACCCCCACTCCTGCGGGGAGAAGTACACGGCCACGTCCGCGAAGCTCACGAGCTCAGGCTTCCTGAAACCAGGCCAGATCTCCCCGGGCATCGGCACCAGCAGCGGGGCCGGGGGTGGCGCCATCGGGGTTCCTGCCGGGGCAGCAGCTTGGGCACGCCAGCCTCCGGCTTCCGGCCTCGGCTTCCCCGGGAAACCACGCCCTTGCCACGCCCCTTGGTCACGATCGCCCCCACTGGGAACTGGACAAAGCGGTCGGCGTGAGGACGGCAGAGCTCCGGTGGAGACTAGGGAGGCTCCATAGTTCACTCCACAGCCGCTCGTACAGAGACACGACTCGGGTGAAGGAAGCCGGAAGATGCCTTCAGAAAACATGGCGATGGCCTGGCTTCAGTTGCCATTGACAGCACTCAGGCGCCATTTCTGCCGCTGGGCAAATATGGCGGCTTTCGGACTTCCACTGCCCATTTGCAAATGCAGCGGCCCATTTGCCCTTAAACACAATGGCCGCGTCAGGAGGGTTGGTGCTCATTTCTATGTGTGTGTGTCGGGGGGGCGGGGAGCTTTCAAAAAATACCTGCCACCTGCTGCCTCAACGCCTTCTCTGTGAGCCATCGCAGCGGCAGATGATTGGTTGTCACAGCTAGGAGCAGCTGTACTGCAATTGGCTTCGGAAAGGCGGGACGTCTCAAACGATCTGTAGACCCTGGGGCCCGAGGTTTATTCTTCCCGGTGTCCCCACGAGCGTCCTGGTCAGCCTCTGGAGGCTCGCCGAACCTGGGCACCGCATCTGAGAAACCCGGCTCGTGTCCACAGAAGAACTCACTATGCATGCAGGTCAGACTGCACCTGAACTCACAGAGATCTGCTTGCCTCTGCCTCTGTGTCTGTGATTAAATGAGTGCACCACCACTCCTGGCTGTAGCAGGTTTTTAAGAGGTAGAGTGTTGGTGTTTATGGAAAGGTAAATACGTTTATTGTTTCTTATGGTTAAATGTGTACACAATCTATTTGGGTAAAACTGAAATAAAAGGTTGGTGACTGAAGAAAGGTACCACAATGTCAGCCTCCACATGCATGTGCACATGTATGTATGCACACCACACATGAACACACACACAGATGTTCTCCAGAACGGAGAGTAGAAATAATGATTGTACTTTTTTTTTTTTTTCCAAACAGGGTCTCACTATATAGCAGTAGAGCTGACCTGGAACTTGCTAAGTAAGCTGGAGTGGCCTTGAACTCACAGAGATCCACCTGCCTCAGCCTACTGAGCATTGGATTAAAGGGGTGCCCCATTATACTGTTTATTTATTTTTTTAAAGTTGAGCGGAGTTGGGCCTGGTGGCCAAGGCCTTAGGGAGTGGCAAGAGGATCCATCAAAGCCTACATGGTCATTTAAGCTAGACCCTGGAGAGAGGGGCCTAAGAAAGAAAGAGGAGGGGAGGGGAGGGGAAGGAAAGTAGAAGAGAGAGGGAAGAAAAAGAAAGAAATCAGGGGAGACACGGGATATGTAGGCCTGTAATAGCTTGCTTAGGTCCTGGGTTCAATGCTCAGCAGCACCTATCCACCCACCCCCCAACGTTATAGATTTTAGCAATGAGGACGCCTCCAGGATCTGCCTTGCTGAAGACATCAAATCATGTGGACCTTCAGCCCTTCCCCAAGCCTCTGAATGAAGTGGTTTCACAACCCCTCCAAATTACTACATTTTGTTTATTTTATGTATGTGTGTGTATCTGTATATGTTGTAGAATGTTATTTTAACTGGGCAACAATGTGTTAGGTTTGATTATGCTGCAGAATATTGCTTTAACTGTGTAAAGGTGTGTTACATTTGTGCCGCATTTGTTTAATGATGTCAGGATGTGTGTCTAATTATTTGTTTCACCTTGCCTGCCTAAGGCACCTGATTGATATAATAAAAAGCTGAACGTCTAATAGCTAGGCAGGAGAAGGATAGGTGGGGCTGGCAGGCAGAGACTATCTAGAAAAGAAAAGAATGAAAGAAGAAAGAGAATGAGAAGAAAGAGAGGGACACAACCTGGGCAAGAAGCCAGGCAGCCCCCAGTCAGCCAGACATGAGAAGCAGTGAAAGTCAGATATACAGAAGGAAAGAAAAGTAAAACGCCCCAAGGCAAAAGGTAGACAAAGAGGAACCGGTTAATTTAAGTTAAAAGAGCTAGCCAGAAATGAGCCTAAGTTAAGCCAACCATTCATGATTTGGGAGCTGGTTGGTAGCCCAAAAGAAAAAGCCTGGTATATGTGTGGTCATGCATGGATGGAGATTGAGAATAACTTGAAAGACACAGTTCTCTGTATCCACCATGAGGGTTCCAGAGATCAAACTTAGGTTATCAGGACTGGCAGCAAGAGTATTTATAAACTGAGCCATCTTGCTGGCCTCACAACTTTGTTTTTTTCAAGACAGGCTTTCTCTGTGTAACAGTTCTGGCTGTCCTGAAACTCGCTTTGTAGACCAGGCTGGCCCCAAACTCACTGAGATCCGTTTTCCTGTGCCTCCCGAGTGCTGGGATTAAAGGTGTGCATCACCACCACTACCCAGATCACAACTTATCTTTTGAAACAAGATCTGTACTAAACCTGGGGCACAATGACTTAACTAGACTGCCTGTTCTGTGAGTTCTAGGGATTGCCTGTCTCTTCCCCCAACGTTGAGGTTATACATATGCGCTCTGCATCCAGCTTTTCTGTGGATGATGGGACTGGAATCAGGTCAACATACTTACACAACAAATAGTACTTATTGACTGAGCCATCTTCCCAGACCCTGCTTTGTGTGGTTAACTCTTCTTCTTAGAGATTTATTTGTGTGTGTAGGTACGTGTACGTCAGGCTTGTATGGTGAGCACTTTTTTTTTTTTTGGCAGGGGGTGGGGTTCAAGGCAGGGTTTCTCTGTGGTGGCAAGCACTTTTACCTGCTGAGACATCTCGCCAGTGCCCCTGGCACTTTCTGACTATTGTTCAGTGTTACACATTTGTATAAAAGTTTACATATTCATTGAGATAGACTTCACTTACTGTTTTAGCCCCCCATTCAGTATGAAGTTCGATGGTCTGAGTATATTATATTATTTTTCAAACTGATATGTGTAAGCCGATGAAGCCTCAACAGGTAAAGGTGCTGAGGTCAATCCCTGTAACCCACTTGGTATTGCTGTGGAATAATCTTGTACAATGTGACTATGTATTGCTCTCATTGGTTAATAAAGAAGCTGATTGGCCTATAGCAAGGCAGGATGAAGTTAGGCAGGGCAACTAAACTAAGGACACAGGGATGAAGAGCTGAGTGAGAGTCGGTAGCAGACACAGGAAGATGGCACACCTTACTGAGAAAAGGCACCAAGCCATGTGTCAAAGCATAGTTAAGAAATATGGGTTAGGGGCTGGAGAGATGGCTCAGAGGTTAAGAGCATTGCCTGCTCTTCCAAAGGTCCTGAGTTCAATTCCCAGAAACCACATGGTGACTCACAACCATCTGTAAAGAGGTCTGGTGCCCTCTTCTGGCCTGCAGGCATACACACAGACAGAATATTGTATACATAATAAAAAATAAATAAATATTTAAAAAAAGAAATATGGGTTAATTTAAGTGTAAGAGTTAGTCTTAACAAGCCTGAGCTATCAGCTGAGCATTTGTAATTAATATTAAGCCTCTGAGTGATTATTTGAGAGTGGCAGGAGAAAAGAAACATATGCCTACACGGTAGGAAAGAACCAATTCTTGAAAATTGGTCTCTAATTTCCACACATACATACAGAGAGAGAAAGAGAGAGAGAGAGAGATTAAAATAAAATTTAAAAATTTTACGAATGGGTAAGAAAGTTTGTCAGGGGGCTGAAGAGATGGCTTCGCGGTTAAGAGCATTGCCTGCTCTTCCAAAGGTCCTGAGTTCAATTCCCGGGAACCACATGGTGGCTCACAACCATCTGTAATAAGGTCTGGTTTCCTCTTCTGGCCTGCAGGCATACATGCAGACAAAACACTGTATACACAATAAGTAAATAAATAAATATATTTTTTAAAAAGTTTGTCAGTTGGGGACTGGAGAGATGGCTCAGAGGTTAAGGACGCTGACTGTTCTTCCAGAGGTCCTGAGTTCAATTCCTAGCAACCATATGGTGGCTCACAACCATCTACAATGAGATCTGGTGCCCTCTTCTGGCATGCAGTCACCCATGGAGGCAGCACACTGTATTGTATACATAATAAATAAAATCTTTTTTAAAAAAGTTTGTCAGTTGAACCCAGTTTTTAAAATTTAGATATATTTTATGAGTGTTTTGCCTGCATGTGTGTATGGGCATCATGTGTGTGCCTGGTACCAGCTAAGGCCAGAAGGGGGCTTTAAATTCCCTGCAGGGATTGAGAAGATGAGTGCCACCAGTCACAGAACTGAGGATGTGAATTTGAACCTGCCCCATTCATTACACTTCTCCTATTTGGTGTGCCTGGAACCTGACAAATGACTGGATTATTACTATCATCCTTTTAAAAATATTTTTATTTTATGTGTATGAGTGTGTGGCTGCAGTGCCCCTGAGGGCCAGAAGAGGTCATCAGAGTTCCCTCGAATTGAAGTCACAGATGATTGTGAGAGGCAGTGTGGGTGCTGGGAGTCTAACCCAGGTTCTCTGGAAGAGCAGCCAGTGCTCTTATTGCTGAATCATCTCTCTTTATTTGAAACTTCACCAAAAGGTGACTCCAATGACAGCTGCTGTGTCACTATGGTTACACTACTGAGCAAATTAGAATAGTTCTTGGTAATTGATTTTTTCTCCATCTCTGTCTATAATGTTGATGAGGAGCAGTCTGCTGTTAGTTGGCTGATGCAGAATATTATTTTAAGATGTGTTATATTCATTTATGCTCTGGAACATTTGTTTAATGATGCAAAGACATGTTACATTCTTTTGTTTTTGAGACAGGGTTTCTCTGCATAACAGCCCTGGCTCTCCTGGAACTCACTTTGTAGATCAGGCTGGCCTCGAATTCACAGAGATCTACCTGCCGCTGTCTCACAAGTGCTGGGATTAAAGGAATGAGCCACCACTACCCAACATGTTGCATTCTTTTATGTTGCATTTTTTATGTTGCATTTGTTTAACTCTGTGAATTTTGTCTGTCTAAAACACCTGATTGGTCTAATAAAGAGCTAAAGGCAGGAGAAAGGATATGTGGGCCTGGCAGGTAGAGAGTATAATTAGGAGGAGAAATCTGGGAAGAAAAATCAAGGATCAAAGGGAAGGAGAGGAGGACTCCAGGAGCTAGACACCCATCTGCTACACAGCAAGCCACAGAGTAGGAAGTAAAGAAAGAGATTCAAAAATAGAAAAAGGTAAAAGACCAGAGGCAAAAAGTAGGAAGGATAATTTAAGAAAAGCTGGCTAGAAATAAACCAAGCTATGACTGGGCTTTCATAAGAAAGAATAAGTCTCCATGTGATTTATTTGGGAGCTGGGTGGCAGGGCCCCCAAA